AATTTCACCATCCAGTTAGGCTCATCAACGATAACTCCTTCAAAAACAGCTAGAAACCTTGGAGTTGTGATTGATGATTAGCTGAATTTCTCAGACCACATTGCTAAAACTGCCCGTTCCTGCAGATTTGCTTTATACAACATTAGGAAGATCAGGCCCTTTCTTTCAGAACATGCAACACAACTCCTTGTTCAAGCTCTTGTTCTGTCCAGGCTGGACTATTGCAATGCTCTCTTGGCAAGTCTTCCAGCCACTTCTATCAAACCTCTACAATTAATCCAGAATGCGGCAGCAAGATACATTTTTAATGAGCCAAAAAGAATGCACGTCACACCTCTGTTCATCAATTTGCACTGGCTACCAGTAGCTGCTCGCATAGAATTCAAGGCATTAATGTTTGCCTACAAAACCACCACTGGCTCTGCACCCCTTTACCTAAATTCATTACTTCAGAGTTATGTGCCCTCTAGAAGCTTGCGTTCTGCAAATGAACGTCGCTTTATTGTTCATCCCAAAGAGGCACAAAATCACTTTCACAGACTTTTTCATTAACTGTTCCCTCCTGGTGGAATGACCTGCCCAACTCAATCCCAGCAGCTGAGTCCTACTTGTACTAACTGCTTGTTTTCTTAAAAAAAAAAAAAAAAGAACACTAGCTTCCCTAGTCTTTTTGTATTCTATCTATTTGTTTTCTTTTATTTATTATACAATTAACAAAAAGCAAAAAAGGCCTCTAACACTATCTTGCTCTATTCGTTTTCTATTCTATCTGTTTTCTTTTCATTATATAATAAAAAAAAAAAAACTTGCTACATGTGCTGTGTTCGGCTAACTGAGACTTGTTATAGCACTTGCATATCTATGCTCTTTTGTTAGTGTGATTGCTTCTATTGTCCTCATTTGTAAGTCGCTCTGGATAAAAGCATCTGCTAAATGACTAAATGTAATGTATTTCGGCTCATATTCGGCTCAGGCGTCTGAAAGTGAGTTTAGATTGAGTAACTTGTAGTTTCTTGCACAGATCGATCATTTTGCTTCATAAGACCTCAATATATCGTCTGGGGCCACGGGTATTAATTTTGTGTTCATTGATATGTTTTTTAATTCTCAAAAACAGGCAGCCGCTGACTTGCATTTAATGAATCACCAAGGACAATGGTTTCAGCTAAAATCTTTACTCCTCTACTGAAGAAAGAAGTCACCTACATCTTGGATGGCCTGAGGGTGAGTAAATGAACAGCAAAGGTTCAGTTTTGGGTGATCTGCCCCTTTAAGAGTCTGTGCATTCAGTGTGTGACGTAGCCTGTTAGAATGAACCCAACTTTCAAGATATTGAGGCAAAAATGCCCCGTATGAGTTTTTAGCTTATATTTACATCATATGATGTAGTTAAATTTACCATGAAATCAAAATGGACAATTCTTACTTTTATATTAAATAAATGATTCCTCCACACCCATCATTATACATTTTTTAATTCATGTGTCACATCACAGGAAGAGCAGGTCATGACATTTTTATTAAGGATTATAAGATTACAAGGTCCAAAATATGCATGGATGAATCATTCACAATGAGACTGGTAACATGCATGAGGAAAATAGCTAGGATTCATTTTAATTTCCTAATCGGTGATCAGTCAGATTTCATTCTGGGCTGGCGTCTCCCTTCAGAATAATCCCGAGGAAAAACATCTCTCTGAAGGGACTGGACACGTTCATCAGAGAGCAGGACATTGTCCATCCACGATCAGGAGTTCATCAAGAGCAGTGCTTCAGTCAGAATATACTCTGTGACGTGTACATGTCTTCCACTCTATTTTCAGTTCTTTCAGTCTAATTGCTCTTCTAAGCTGTGTTGTTGGGTTATTGCTGTAAATAGAGACTCCTGATCCTCTAGCCGTCTATCAGTGAGTCTCAAGATGGCGCCAGATCCCTCTTCTGACACGTGTTTGTGTGTATAGAGCGAATGAGAGAATCTGTGTCCTGGATGAGCGTTTATCAGGCAAATACTATAGAGCTAAAAACATTAGTGTAGCCTCAAGAAGTGTATTATTGTGGGGTTATTCTGTGTAATGTACTGTGACTCATTCACTCATTCAGTGAGAGTGTTGTGTAGCTGTAGTAATGCAGGTCAAGCGTGGTTTGTCTGGCAGATCTGTGAGCTGTGCTGTGTTGTTCTGCAGTTGAATGCAGAGGGGATGTCTGGCAGTAAGGTGCTGGGGGGGGCGCGGCGGCGGCGGACACGGTGCCGGCGCTGTCAGGCGTGTATGAGGACCGAGTGCGGCGAGTGCCACTTCTGCAAGGACATGAAGAAGTTCGGTGGACCGGGCCGGATGAAGCAGTCCTGTCTGCTCCGCCAGTGCACCGCGGTGAGTCCAGACCTCAAACTAAACCACTGCACACTCCACACACTCTCAGAGGCTTTCCCTTCATTATATACACTACGACTGGAAAATACTGTAAATTGATCAACTGTTCGGCGTGATGGCATTTAATGACTCCGACAGCGCCTGGAGTCCCATTTAGCAACTTGTAAACAACAAGTTTTTTAAAGGTGACATATCATGAAAATCTGACTTTTCCAGGTTGTAAGTGGCATTTATTGATTTATTTACTGTATATTGCTGCTGCTACACAGATCTAAAATAAACATGCGATTTATTTCCCAGCTGTTTACCTTCACAGACATAACCCACTGTTTTTGTAATGCATGTGTGTTTGTAACGTAAACTTGTGTGTGAATGAGAACTTAGTTTAGTACTCACATGCTGTGACAGCCGCTTTCTGTGCGTGTGCTTCGGATGTGTGCAGTCAGAAAACCGTATATCAGAAGTTTAAACTCATATGGTTTAAAACACATGATTTCAGCACGATAAACATGATAATCAGAACCAAAACAGATGTTTTTAGCAGGTATGAGCTGTAAAGGTGCAGCTCTATTCTGGAAAAGGGGCGGGGAGCAGCAGCTCATTTGCATTTAAAGAGACAGGCATGAAAAACAGTGTGTTTCTGCTTCCACTCAAAATAGCCATTTTTAAAATGATATAATAAATGATCTGTGGGGTATTTTGAGCTGAAACTTCACAGACACGTTCTGGGGACACCAGAGACTTATATTACATATTGTAAAAAGGGGCATAATATGTTTAAAAAGTTAAATAATTTAAATAAGTTTAAAAAATCACAAGTGGGGTGTAACTGGTGTGTTTTATGTTGCAGAATAAAACGTAAACGTACCTTGAGCTTGAGTGAACCACGGACCTTATTTTAGGGGATTTAACCAAACTCCCATTCAAAAAACCCATTGACTCTGGGACGATAGAACCGGAAGTGCTAAAATGCTAACTTGCTTCCGGGTTTTTGCTCTCCTCAGCCGGTGTTGCCGCACACAGCCGTGTGCTTCGCTTGCGGAGAAGCGGGGAAGGAGGACACGGTGGAGTCGGAGGAGGAGAAGTTCAGCCTCTCGCTCATGGAGTGCACCATCTGCAACGAGATCATCCACCCCAGCTGCCTGAAGGTTTGTGCCACACACTGGGAGTGAAGCGGCTGAAGCGGCTGCTGGTAACACTGCTGATGAACTGTCTCTCCTCAGATGGGCAAGGCTGAAGGCATTATTAATGATGAGATCCCAAACTGCTGGGAATGTCCAAAGTGCCACAAGGAGGGAAAGACCAGCAAGGTAAGACTCTACAGACCCCACAGACTCTCGCCGTTTCTAAACACTGAATCTTTACACTCACTGATTGTCTGCATCCATTTCCACACCTTGTTTAGAGGTATAGTTTTATGCTACGTATTCTATGTTTTGTGACCGAGATCATGCTTTCATGTTTGACATTTTTTATTTTAATCAAAAGGTTTACTGTGCAGTAGGGCTGTCAAAATGGCTGAAAAACTAAATTCAAATTTTGTGCTTGAATATTATCAATATTTGAATTATATTCAAATTTAAAAGCTTTTGGCTTCTCTCCTGAGGCAAAATATTACTATAATATTCGAGCAAAATATTACTAATGCACATTTATTCAAAGCAATGAAGGCGAGTAACACAGAGCAAGTGCTTCCTGGTTACTGCTGCACGCTCATGATTCAGCTTGTTTCTTGAGCAGAGCCAAATCAAACGGAGAGAGAGAAAGAGAGAGAGTCACCCTTCGTGTAACTAGTTATTATTAGGCACTGCTCAACTAAACAATACTGCGACTGCTAGTCGACACTGGAAAGACTAGTCATTTATTTATTCCTTTTATGTTTTACATTTGTTTGTCTTTATATATTTTCAAAGGCTTTATTCAAATTACTGTCATGTTAATGATACATTTAAAAAATAATACTTGGTTACACTTTATTTTAAGGTGTCCTTGTTACAGTGTAGTTATACATTTAGGTACTGAGTAATTAATTAACTATGTGTACTTACTATGTGATTAGGGTTTGGCTTAGGGTTACTTGCATGTAATTATGCATAATTATTATAGTAATTACATGTAACGTGTAACAAGGAAGCCTTACAATAAAGTGTTACCTAATACTTCATATATATTTGGAGTGGAAAACAAAGTCCTGTTATTTTGAGGCACCTGCATATGTTCGTTTTCTCCATCGAGGCGGTTTCGGAGAAAGGCACACTGGGAAGATGAGCAAAGCGAGGGAATATTTTATCTTATGTCAAATTGGCATATTAAAATTCATCTTGCTTCTGGTTATGAGGGACAATACTGGTTATGTTATACTGGTTTAAAGGGGAAACACTATGAATGAAACGTACTTGACAACAAGAGTTGTTATATCAGTATCCTAATGAATAGAATACCCTTAAATAACTTACAGTTGCCAGAACACGTCAAGCTTTTCTTGTGATTTTGCCATCTGTCACAGATGCTTTCATTCACATGAAGCGTGTTCGACCCGGACACACAAGCAGATGCAGTGATAGCGAACAACAAACAACCATATACTGTATGTGCTGACTAACATTTATTTCAGCAGTTCTGTTTATCATAGGCTGTTGAGTCTATTGGCCTATTGATTCAGGTGATTTTAATAAAAACGTCCGTATTGGCTAACGATGATTAAGTGAATGCTTAAGTTTGAAAATACATTGATCTTCTGGGGGTTTGTTAGACTAGACGGTTGGAAAATGTTCTGCTTTAATGTTAATGAAATTAGTTGTGGTGCACATCCCTAGTTATTATATATAGTTACCAAAAAGGTCTCTGTTATTTCATAAAAGGCTGCATTTAAATGTAAAACAGGGTAAAGAAATGTGTGTTGGAGTCGTATGTTGAAGGTGCAGTCAGATCACAGAGACATCCCAGACATGACTAAGGATGTGAACTGCTTTCCGAACAGCCAGATTTGTGAGCAGCACTGCATGTTCTTGAACTGAACGGTCAGTGTAAATCAGCACCTACACAGAGGCCACTGCCGAATCAAGTGACTAAACCCTCAACGCTGTAAACTCATGTGTCAGACTTCACCAAACGTGAACGTAGGGGCGTTTCTCTAACACCTGAAGCCCATCAGGTGAAATTCCTCATTGCGTGGATTACCACTGAGATTGTTTTTATTTTTTATTTCTCAATGCAAGAGTAAATGTGACAGCACCTGTTATTAAACATACATTGATTTATTTGTGGCGTTTGACTTCGTTGAATAAACATGAGCACTGCACGTTTCAAAATCATAACGCGTCGCGGGTGTTTTATATGAATGTGTCTCTGAAGGGAAAGGACTGTCTTCAGAAAAGTTTCGATGGAATTTCTATTTTATCTGATAAAGTAGCGTTCATGAGCGGAGCTGTGTTGATTACAGCCGTTACTAAACAAACTGCTAGTTTTATCACTAACAGCGCCTCCTGCTGGCAGACAATCAGTTTGCATCTTCAATAAGCCCGTCTCCAGCAACATGTTTTTGTTGTTGCTCTTATTTGTTTCAATCTATAAGAATAATCAGCCTACACTACCTGTCAAAGGTTTTTGAACAGTAAGATTTAAAAAAAAAAATTGTTAAAGAATTATCTTCTGCTCACCAAACCTGCATTTATTTGATCCAAAGTACAGCAAAAACAGTAAAAAAAATTACATATTTTTACTATTTAAAACAGCTGTTTTCAGTGTGAATCTCTGTTAAACTGTAATTTATGTCTGTGATGCGCAGCTGAATTTTCAGCATCATTACTCCAGTCTTCAGTGTCACATGATCTTCAGAAATCATAATAATATGCTGATTTGCTGATTATCAATATTTAAAACAGCTGAGTAAATTTTTTTTTTTCAGGATTATTTGCTGAATAGAAAGATCCAAAGATCAGCATTTATCTGAAATAAAAAGCTTTTGTAACATTATACACTATTCCATTCAAAAGCTCGGAGTTCTTTTTCTGTTTTTTTTTTTTTTTGGAAAGAAATTATAGAAATTATTACTTTTATTTAGCAAGGATGCTTTAAATTGATCAAAAGTGATGATAAAGACATTTATAATGTTACAAAAGATTTCTATTTCAGATAAATGTTGTTCTTCTGAACTTTCTATTCATCAAAGAAACCTGAAAAAAATTCTACTCAGCTGTTTTCATCATAATAATGATTTTTGAGCAGCAAATCAGCATATTAGAATGATTTCTGATGATCATGTGACACTGAAGACTGGAGTAATGATGCTGAAAATATAGCTTTGAAATCACAGGAATAAATTTCATTAAAAAAAATGTTCAAATAGAAAAAGTTATTCTAAATAGTAAAAATATTTCACAATATTACTGTTTTTGCTGTATTTTGGATCAAATAAATGCAGGCTTGGTGAACAGAAGAGAATTCTTTAAAAACATTAAAAATCTTACTGTTCAAAAACTTTTGACTGGTAGTGTATGTTAGGCTATAGTTTGAAGTTAAAGATATTAATATTAATTAGGTGAGTCTGAGACGATTATTTGACAGTGATTTCACATTTCTTGTTTGTATGAAGGCTAAATGCAAATAAAAGTTGAACATTAACTTATTTATGCTGTTTTTTTTCTAAAATATTATATGGTTTTATATGAGGTGTCATAGACTTGGCAAATACATTTTTCGTAAGTTTGTATGAACAGACATCTCTTGTGGGCGTTCTTGGCAGTTTTTACGAGGCTTTTTTTTTAATAGTGTTTATATCGATATCGGATGCTAATGCTAAACTACCGTATGACATCATCTAGCGACATTTCGAGCAGACTTTAGCTACTTTCCATTGAAAGAAGTTGGCAACATTGCTGATCATTGCTGTCATGATGGAGTGTTTGTGTCAGTTCAGAGTACTGTATGAACACTGCGTGTCTTTCTGTTTGTCCCCAACAGATCAAAGGAGCCCGTGATAAACACCTGAAGAAGGTATGCCTGTTCTCTTCTCTACAGTCTTGAGTCTTGACATGAAATTCACGGTGGTCAGTTTCTCTCGCTAGAGTAACTCTCTTTCTTTAACGTCTTCAGCAGAAAGCCAAACCCAACTCGTCGGACTCCTCTGAAGCGAACGGGCCAAACTCTTCGTCGGGCGGCGGACACGGCTCCAGCACAGCGCAGGCCTCGACGCCGAGCCAGGACCAGCGCTCACATCACCGTGAGAAACTGGAGCGCTTCAAGCGCATGTGCCAGCTCCTGGAGCGAGTGCGCGACTCCAGCTCCTCGTCCTCCTCCAGCTCCGAAACCGACTCAGAGTCGGACTCGGACTCTCCGTCCCCTGCGGGCGCCTCGGAGCCGTCCTCTCCGACGTACGGCAGTGGCGCGGCGCGAGAGCGGAGCCGGCGTCTGGCCGAGCTGGGCTTCAGCGCCAGCGAGGAGTCCGAGGGCGAGAGCGTGGCGGCGCAGGAGCAGGCGGACGAGACGCAGACGCAGACGCAGCGCCGCAGGGGAGATGCCAGCACCCGGCTGCGGAGGACGCTCGCCGAGGCTGAGCCGGACGATGACGAGGAAGGCTCGGGCGACCGCGCTCACAAAGCCCTGGCCCCGTCCTCTCCGCTCTCGGCTACGCAGCCGCCGAGCTACGGACACTTAGCGGGCCCCGAGGGCCTGTCCTCGTCCAAGCGCACTAACGGACAGGACGCGCGCAACGGCCGCACGCGGGTGAGCGGCAGAGAGCTGCAGGAGAAGGAGAACTCCAACAGCAGCACCGTCTCCAATCACCGGCACGCCGCCGGGAAGGCCGTCCGCGGGAGCAGGATTCGCGGAGCAGGCCGGCAGGGCCAGAGCACTCCCTGGAACAAGAGCACAGCG